AGATATCATCTATACTTATCTCATCTATGCCACGTCTATACTGTGCCTCGACCCCACTGTGCTACCGTTTTTTTTTATTATTTTTACGCACATATTTTAATAAGCGCCATCATTTATTTGAAAACCCTTTTAAGTCCAAAAACTTCGAATTCGATATTTTTAGTAATATAAAAGTATAAACCTGGGCTATCATACTAACTACTTCAACGTTAGGTACTTTAAATTGTTTTATGCTACTATTCATCGATCAGTGCGAGTAAAAAAAATTTTTTCCTTATATTGTAAAGTTTTTGTTTTGTAATTAAAAGGGTTTTTCAACAAATAACCGTTCCATTTAGAAATAAATATTTTTATCAATGGGAGAACATGGCCCCATTGCCATATTTTTGGCGATGATAGGTTAAACTATCGGGTTTTTTTGAGCATAAACGAACAAAATCGATTTAGTTGGATCGATCGGATCTAGAAGAAATATGAGAATTTTCATGAAAGAACTTAAAAAAGCACATGTAAAACCATTACCTTCTTAGCATCACATCGAGCCAAAACATTGGTGAAAATAAAATCTAACACGTCAGAAACAAAATTAAACAAGTCTTATTATCTAACAAAATATATTTTTAATTAAGCGAGAACTTGAACAAGTGATCAAAATTATCAAAATTAGTGGGTATTTATGTATATGAGTTATAGATACTTTAACTTAACAGACAGCCAAAATATAAATTACTTTTTTTTATTTTTTAATTTATTCTTCATAAAATAAACTTCATTAAAAAAATTTTAAATTACGTTATTCATAATCTAATTTTGATTCTGATAGAAAATAATGACGAATATGCAAAAATAATAATTTTAGTAAAAATATATCGTAAATAGAGCAACCAGTGACGGCATATTAAATCAATTCAATATGAATCAAATAAATAAAATGCAACAATGCATGAAATTAAGAAAAAAGTTTATCTGGAAATATTAAATCTTAGCAAATATACATTTGATTAACTGATGGTAGATATTAATCATTTTAAATTGTACAAATAGGCAGTTAGAATTTTATTTTAATAAAATGAACGCACGTTTTTAATATTTAACAAGTTTAAAATAAGATGGAAAAACTAGATTCTACGAAATACTCATTATTTAAATAATTTATGATTGTTTATATAATATTATATATACCTTGTGATATTTTTTAACTTAACAAGAAAAATACAATAAATTATTTAAACTAAATTTTTTAATTTTTAGCCCAGTGTTACTGCTAAATTTTACTTGTTTCAATAGTAATTATTTTAATAATACATAATGATTATTATTAAGTATTTAACTCTAAACATTATTATAGTAATCTTATGCAAAATTCAACAATCAAATTTTTTTGTAAAAAGTGATGAAATTTTGAAAAAAGCTTTGAAACTAGACACTGGTTTTACATATCCCGATTACTCTAAACTTCGTAAATTGAAACGTTATATTATTGAAAAACAGATATTAGAAGTAGAAGATAATTTACAATATCCTAGTTGCGTAAAAACTTATGTCATGTATATTGACCTTTATTGTGCCAATCTTTTTAACCTAAGGCATTATATGATTTTAAGTAAATATTTCATTGAAAATAATTTACCAAACGATATTTACCTGAGTGAATCGATAACAAATCGTATGATTATTTCGGCAATTAATACTGTTTGCAATACCCCCGTAACTTTCTGGGCAATGCATATGGTTAATTACTACGCTAAAAAGTATCGAGAGGATGATATTCAATATATAAAAAAATGTTATGAATTGGTATGGAAAAGTATAAACGACGATATTTCAATGTGTCAAAAAAAAAATAAGTATAATATTGTCACAAATCCAGAAGATCCTTTAGAGAAGTATTCTATGCTGCGAAATTATATTGTTGAAATGAATAAAAGAACAGAATTCAACAATGATATATTAGATATAAAAGAAGAAGAAAATTTTGCTTCCCTCGAATATCTTTACTTTTGTAATATTATTGAAAATAAAAACGTTTTAAAAACTGCAATTGTGAAATTCGGCGAACAAACGGAGGAAAATTTTGAAAAAATATATGAAGATATTTTTAAAGAATACTTGGAGATAAAGAATAATGACAGTAGTNAAGATATTTTTAAAGAATACTTGGAGATAAAGAATAATGACAGTAGTATCGAATTATGGATTATGAATATTAAAAATTACCAAACAAAATTATTAAATATTTTTAAAACCATTCTTTTACATTTGATGAAAAAGCAAGCAATGTATGGTGATTTGTTGCTGAAAGCGAACAATCTAATTACTATCGTAAAGTGTCATAATGAAATGGGTGAATTACTTTCCAAATTATATGTACATGAGCTTTTTGGTGACATAAAAGAGGATTTTTCAACTATAGTAAACTCTTTCAAAGGTCTTCCTTCAAACTGCAACATAATACGTGATGCGCACCTAGTAATGATTTTAAATATTCAAGGCATAATTGATAATATTAAACCGAATCATTTTAAATTGTTCGATAAAAACATATCTGACCCAGAATATTTATCAAATCAAATGAATTTAGTCCAGAATCTTATTTCAGACATTGGAATAAGCAAAAAAAATTTCGATGACAAGATAACACCTTTTAAAAAAATTATTGACGATGGATTGAGTTATAATTATTCTATCATATATATGTATATATATTACTTGAATAATACTTTTAAAGGATGTAAGTTAAAATATATTTGGTCATTTATTAAATTTTCAAAGTTAACTCATATTATTGATTTATCTAATGCGAGATTAAATATAATTAACGGATTGTTTCGCTCATAATCTTCTTCTTCTTCCTCACCTTAATCTCCCACATCCTCTACGCTCATATCAGCCGTCTTCATATCGCATCCAATATCATTCCTCCATCTCTTTTTTGGTATTCCTCTACCTCTTCTTCCTTCAACATTAATTTCCATAACTGTACTCACAGCTTCTGATTCCTCTATCCTCATAACATGACCAAACCATCTAAGTCTATTTTCTATCTTATCCATGATTGACGCTACACCTATACTCCCTCTTACATGCTCATTACTTATCCTATGTTCTCTAGTCACTCCACTCATTCAACCTAAGTATTCTCATCTCAGCTATACTCATTTTTTGCTCTACTTTCTTATCAAACACCCAACACTCTGAATCATACATCATAGCTGGTCTCACTACAGTCTTTAGAATTTATCTTTTAGCCTTATTGGAATTATTTTATCACGTAAGACACTAAACGCTTCTCTCCACTTTAACCACCCGTACTTAATCCTGTGTCTTACATCCTCGTCAATACCACCGCTCTTTTGCACAACTGATCCTAAATACTTGAAACTTTCCACCTCTCCAATCACGTCCTCGCCTATTGTCATTGGGCTCCTTATTTTAACTATAAGCATTCTCATCTCTACTACGCTCATTCTCTGATCTATATTCTTGTCAACCGTTCAACACTCTTAACAATACATTATAGCAAGTCTCATTACAGATACCACCGTTTTTTTGCACAACTGATCCTAATTACTTAAAACGTTCCACCTCTTCTATCACGTCCTTGCTTATTGTTACTGATATCCCCATTTAACTTACCTCGTGTTCACCACTATCAAAATCGTACTCTATATACTCTGTCTTACTCATACTTATTCTTAAACCCTTTTCTTCAAGAGCTGATTTCCATACCTCTAGCCTTTGATTAATTTCCTCCCTATTTTCTCCTATTAACACTATATCGTCAGCAAAGAACATAGTAATGCACTACGGCACCTTTTCTTGTATATTTCTAGTAATTTCATCCATAAATATAGAAAATGAGTAAGAACTTAAAGCAGAACACTTATGCACTCCTACTCTTACCCTAAAACCTTCTATTACTCCTCCCACACTTTTTACCCTAGTACTAGTGCCATCATACATATCCTCAATTATATTAATGTACCTTTTTGAGAATCCTTTTCTCATTAATGCCAACTTTAAAACCTCTCTGGTACTCTATCATACGCTTTCTCCAAATCTATAAATACCATACAGAGCTTTTTCTTTTTTTCCTTAAACTTTTTACTCCACCCACTCTTTTCTCCTTTTGCTCTTCTGCCATATTTTGAATTGCTTTTTCTTACTTTCTATGATTTTTTGAACGTCCTTATCTCACTACCAGGTTTCCTTGTTTCTTGGCATTCTACTCCTACTCCCACTAACAATCTCATTTGCAGTATTCTTTAAACAACTAGCAAATCTATCCCACACATCATTTATGTCTCTTTCGACATTCTTGACTGTCCTCTCTTTTACCGTCTTGAAAAACTCTTTTTCATTTTCCCCTTTCAATTTCCACCAACGAATTTTCGATTATTCTCCCGTGTTCCTTCTGTTTTTGTATATTCTTTTCCCGGTACACCAAAACTCCATTACCATCAGTCTATGCTGTGTAGTCACACTCTCGCCTGGTATAACTTTACAATCCTTTACTCGCTTTACGCTCTCTCTCTTCCACATAAAATAACCAAACTGTGATCTATTCCTCCTACTCTTATAGGTTATATAATGTTTTTCCCTCTTTCTAAAATAAGTATTAACCATAGAAAGATCATACGATACTGCGAAATCCAGGATTTTTTCTCCAGCCTCATTCTTCCCACTAAAACCATACCCTCCATGTACTCTTTCATATCATCTCCTCTCATTACCTACATGTCCATTCATATCTCCACCTATCACCGCATCCTCTTTGCCAGGTACCCCTTGCATCACCTCATCCATTTCTCTCCAAAATACTTCCTTGTCTATTTCATCACGTTCCACTTGTGGTGCATAGGCACTTATTACATTCAGCACTTTTTCCTCGAATATCAATTTCAGAACCATAATTCTGTCACTTTTCCTAGCTACTTATACTACTTTACTTTTCATTTCCTCATCCATTATTAGCTCTTTATACAGGGAAGATTGTTTCATTTTTAATGATTATTAATATTTAGATCAGAACAACTTCGACTCAAAGTTATATCTGAAGGTGTATCCTCTAAATATTTTCAGTGTATTATAAAAATGTTTAATGATTTTATACATTAGTCATAGAATATTGTTTTCAAATTGATATTTAAAAATTACCGTTATATATGTTTGTATTATATTTCAATATATTATTTTAATTATGAATACTTACAATACTTATAAAATAAACAATTAATAAAAGAAAAAATAACGCGTGAGGCTATTTGTCTAAAGGTGGAAGTTTTACAGCTGAATCTGATTTCTACTATGGTATTTTTATAATAGCTTCAACATATTAATAATAGCTTGTTATCGATAGATGAGTATTATCGCTGCTAAACAGAGAAAATTAAAAAATATGTTTATTAATGATGTAATCTGTTTATAAACAATATAATGAATAAACACCAATTCGTGATTTGTTAAATCTCTTTGTTAAAATAATTTAAAATGATAATTTTGGGTGTTGGAAATAAATTTGTAAAAGGCGCTTGCAATATATTTATATTGATTTGGTTATACCACCATCGCTATTGTTTTCACCACCGGATACTAGAAGGTAAAAAACAAAAAAGAGTAACATGAAAAATGAGGAGAAATAACGATTTCAGTTTTCCTAAAATCAATTACATCATTACTGTCATAAAAGCCTCTTATACTACACTATATTACTCATACAATATTAACACACATGTGTGCATGTTAATTTTAGTTGTGGTTAAAAATTTACATTTAATGTGTTTTATGTATTTTTGAACATCAAAAATTTAGGTATTAGTGTGATTAGGAAAATTGTTCGAATTTCTCATTTAAATATTTTAAAAGTAATACTTAATATTTAAATTAATACGATAAAGATGACAAAAATGACAATTTTTCAGAAATAACAGATTAGATATAAAAGTAGTTTGTGTTCAAATTTCAGATTTTATATCCATTCACAGATGCCAGGAAAAATCGTAGAATCTTAAACTCGACATCTTACCCTGCCTTATATTACATTATACTACTCAAAATATTTTGTTTCAAATACAGGTATATAAAAAATAAATTTTCTAAGAGATAAAAACACTGAATTGCAATTTTGAGTCAAAATTATTAGGTATAAATGGTTGCCTCAATCTAAAAATTATGAAAAAATAGGTTAATTGCGCTGTGACGTCATCAGTAGTCATCTCTTAGTAAGTATTGTGCTTTTTAGAAATCTTTAAGTAATCTCAATCATGTAAACTATTTATGTAAAAAAAATATGTAAGAGTAGAAAAATAAATGAAACATACTTTTTAATAACATCGATAAATTATTTAATATTTTTTTCGAAAATATTATGACACGGCCCGCGTCGCTTCGTTATACACGATGCCCCGCGACTCGTTCCACCTTTATCAGCCGTCGCTCTACTATGAGTATTTGACTGACCAACACTGCGTATCATACGCTACGGTCAAAGTCCAGCAAGTGCCACACGGCCTACGACGCCCCGCCACAAATGATACGTTGAGTCTTCTCCCCGTTGTGAAAGTGACAACGTAGACGAACCGATCCGCATCCGCGCATCGTCACCATTAACGCTGCTAACCTTTTGCCGTCTAAGGATAGCGCCGGACATCTCGTCGTCGACGCTAGCGAAAGTGCCGCGATATTATGCGAATATTATTATTACTGTGTTCATCTTTTCGGTTTGTTTTATTTTTTGTTAAAATAACCTGTTGTTACTCATTAATAAACGGCCCACGGGTCTCTACCCTCAAAACCAGTGTCGACCACATTTTTGCGATGTTAGTCGTGTCAATTATTAATTATAAATAATATTTATCATAATTTATTTAAATATTACTATTAGTTTAAATGTAGATTAATCATCAACAACATATTATTTACTCAAAAAAATGAAATACTAAAAAAATTGTCTTGCAAAACAGAGTCATGAATTATGAGTTTTTAACTGCAATGCTATAATTATTTCATATATATATAACTATTATTTATAATAATTATAATACATAACATAATAATAACTCTACTTTGTAGTTGAAACTTGTCATATCAAAACTAATTCGACGATATATATTTAAAAAAAATTAGAAATTAATGATTTAAATTATTTGAATTAGGATATAACTATTAAGAATATAGTTCTAAATAATTTCAATTGTACCATCTATTTAAACACCAATAGATACAAAGAAATAATTAATATTTCTATTGAAATGATTTATTACGATATAAATACAGAAAATTTAGTAAGTGATTTTAACAAAATTTTGGGCTATTTCCATAAATTTACTGTTAATAGTAATTATACAAATTTCTGACTATATATCTATCAATTTAACAAAATTATTTTTTAAATCATAATAAAAATTTGTAATTAATGATATCAATTTAAACTTGCAAGTTTAACTATTAAAAAAATTAAAATTTCAACATTATAAATTTATAAACTTTCATAAAAATCATCTTTAAAGAACCAAAAAAATAGGTTAAACATGACATTTTGAATCAAAATATGCATGAATTATTTCAACATATTAAAAATAAAAATCAATTTTTAAATATAAATACTCGTTTTTATAAATTAGTAATAAAATGTCAAAAAAAGAGGCAATGGGAAAAATATAATATCAGTTATTCAATCTAAATGAGACAAAAATCAAGTAAGGACGAGATTGAACCTCCTATCCTAAGCGTGAAAGACTGAAGAATAGCCGACCGACAACCGTACATCAAAAATGAAGTATGATAAAAAAGACAATTTAAGCTAGTTTGAAATTTTAAAGTCATATCTCTTAACTTAGTAGGCAAAATATTAAAAATAAGTTTAAATTTATGTATAATTTAAATTAGTTTCACGTAATTTTTATAAAAAATCGGTGGACTTATCACTATGAAAACCTTTGTAAGGTATTTTAATATAAAAAAACCCAGCACAGGGGGGTCGCGGCACAGTGGTGACGTGGCATAGTTGGATCAAGTATAATGATATCTGATAGTGATTAAAATCACTATCAAAAATAAACGCTTCGATGCAAATCTTTAGATAGTGTTTAATTTTAAAAAAATTGGTGTTTTATTCCAAAAGCTACTTGATCTGCTGGTTCCTTATTAATATCTCGATTAAGATAAAGTATGTCGAATGAAAAAGGGTTTATTAAAAAATATTATTTCTCATAAAAAAATTGTGTGGATCCATAAACTTTTCAATAAGTTATAGCATTATAAAGTTAAATNAAGAAGTATATATAAAGTATTTATCATTAAAGAATAAAGTTGATTCATGCATTTTTTAAAAAGTTATAGCAACATAATGTTAAAAAATAAAAATATTAAAAAAAATTATTTTACCAAAATCGTATTTTTTTATTAACTTTGATGTCAACTTTCACCATGAAGACAAGTCCAGAGGTCAATTTTTTTTTTTTCAAATTAAAGTATATTACATTAGCTTTAATTTAAGATATATATAAAAGTGTCAGACCTTCCGGAACACTTTCAAAAGTTAAGTTGAAAAAGTTCTACTTTTTATATGCATTTTTTATATTTGAAACTTCCCTGTGGGCAGGTTAAGTGTCAGATTTACAAAAAAAATATACCAAATGATAAGTAAAGACATCAAGCATCTATATAAAAAAAAATTATATTGATATGTTCATTTTTGAAAAAGTTAGAGCATTATTAAGTTAAAAATATAAAAAAAAATTATTTTACAAAAATCGTAATTTTTTATTAACTTTGATGTCAACTTTCACCACGAAGACAAGTCCAGAGGTCAAATTTTTTTTTTTCAAATTAAAGTATATTACATTAGCTTTAATTTAAGATATATATAAAAGTGTCAGACCTTCCGGAACATTTTCAAAAGTTAAGTTGAAAAAGTTAATTTTTTGTGAAAAAGTTGTCTTATTAAATCCC